AGGGATCGGAGGGAGCCCAACACAGGTCATCGTCCCCCGGGACAAGCATGTAAAGGGCTGCCCTCGCTAGTGCCGGCGGTGGGAAGGGAAGAGCCTGGAGGAGAGGCCGGAAGGAAAATGGGGCTGACCGGACCGACCAGAGCTCTTTTTGTTGAGGTCAAAGGCCGGTGCTGGAGGCCGCCTTCAGCACTGTGGACAGCTCCCGCAGGGGCCTCCCTGCCCCTGGGGTTCTACCAGAGCCAACACGCTTTGAACTGAGTCCATTACGGTTATGTTACAATGAATTACATATATATAAATGAGAGAGGGAGGGGGAAATGGCGTGTGTCTACGTGAGGTGCTTCTTCCCACACATACTACAGTCATAAAAAATTCTGGGCAGAGGAATTTCTCATCTTCCTCAAAGCTCAATCCTAGTGTGCAAATACCAACTCCCAGACTGTCACGTCTTCCATGGAATTACTTATCCAGAGTGGAATGATCTCTTGTGAATTTTTCCAGCGATAAGTGGAGAGGTAGTTGCTCCAAACGGTGTTGGTACGTTTCCAACTGAATCCGGGACAGGTTCCCAGGCAAGACTACCTCTACCTACACTGGAGGAACCTTCTACAAATAGATATTTTGGCGACCCAGCCTACACCATTGAATCTAAACCATAGAATATGGGCCCCAGGAATCTATTTCCCAAGGTCTCCAGGTGTGTCCCATGATCACCCGGTTTAGATGATCTTAAAATTCCCACATTCCCTGGTACCTATACGTGGGCTCTAACTTCACTTGCTCTTTCTTGCTCCGTATCTTCATTGCTGCATTTTAGTGTCCTCTTTCCCATACAGTTTGGGCCAGCTTTTTTGTCTGCTAGCCAAGATCTTCTTTTAGACCTTGCAAATATTCCCGAAACTTGATCACACTGCACTGTGCACACTGAGGTTTTAGCCTTAATTCATTAATGTAAGAGTTTGTATTTAATCATCTCAGGATGATGAGAAATGGAGTTCAGAATTGGAGGCTCACTGAGAAGACCCCTCCAGAGGCCCAGCAACAGTGGGATACAGTGACACTGCTTCTTGAGAGGCTGGAAGCTGCGGGGGAAGCCTGGGAGGGGCTCCCAGGCCAACCTGAGCAGGCGTGGTTTGGCAGTGCACTGTCTTAACTGGAGGCTGGGCAGGAGGACTGCAACACTGGGAGACCCTGCCCAAAATACCCCTCTGTGTCTCCCCTTTTCCTCCCTCTCTCTCATAAAGAAAAAAGGAGGGGGGAAGAGTCCTTCAAAAATACATGCAGATTTGTTTTCTGCAATGAGACAGAGGCTGAGCTCAGTGGGTACCACATTTCAAATATTTCGTGATCGGCTGTGAGAGCTTATCATTGAAGAAGATATTCTCCAGCCTTAGAGATACCCCCCACAACGCTTAAAACCCTGCAGGAAGCCCTCCTCAACCTCCCCAGCCAAAGCTTTTCCTTTCTCCCTTAAAAGTACAGCAGCCTCTGAGGACGGCATGTCTTCTGGCTTCAGCACAGTGAGGATACTAATCCATGTATAAATACTTCTAAATACTTCATACAGACACAAACCCAAGACAAAATATCACATGGACACACACGACTGTATCAATGTTACACACACACTGCGTGTGTTATACACATACACTGAGCCTCACACTGCACTGTAATTAGGCTTCCTTCTCAAAACCTGTTATTTTGCATAGGTTATGGTTTGGGTCATGGTTTATTCCCCAGAGTTTCATGGTTTGGAATTTGGCCTTAGTGGGTGGTGACTGATTGTCCCCAGAAATTTTTATGTTGGGACTTGGTTGCTTTGATTGTATCGCAAAGGTATTAGGTGATAACTTAATTCCTTCAGAGAGTCCTAGGGTGAGAACTTTGGGTGTGACAATGTCATTAAGGCAGGGCCTCTGTGAATTCCACAGGGTATATAAGCAGAGCACATGAGACCAGGAGCTGGGAGAAAGGTACCTGCGTACAGACCACATCCTGCTAAGAGTCTTTCCGTCCATAATTTTCCAATGCCCTTGGCCCTTCTAGCCACCAACATTGTGAGTTATTAAACCTCTATTTCTTGGGACCAGCAGTTGGCATAATGGCTGTCCTGACAGTTTGGCTAGGAATAAAAACTTTGGTTGAAAATAATTTTCCTATGGCCTATGGGCTAGTGATGGCCCGGTGGTCAAGGCATTGGATCCCACATGGCTGACTGCGGTTTGAGTCCTGGATCCAGATGCTTAAAGAACACACCAGGCATGTGAGTGTTCAAAATCCTGAGAAGAGAATGGAGGAGAAGGGATTGCAGTGTGGCCATTCGGCCTGGGGGGTGCTCTCTCACTCACCCTGCCCCATCTCTCTCTCTCTAGTGAGTGCGCATATCCTATAGCAAATTAAAAAAACCTTTCCCTTAACAATTTGTCTCTTGGGTTCTAATGTTGCTGTCAAGAAGTCCAAAGTTGTTACAAATTCTGATTCACTCTGTACAGACCAATTCTCTCTGGAAAGGTGAAGCAGCTTCACGTTGTCTATAGTGCGATGACATTTTAAGATTACATGCGTGTGTGCCTAACCATTGGGCTGGACTTTCTGTTTCTTATTTTCCTGGAAACCCAAGTTTGAAGAAATTTTCTTGGGTTGTGTCCTTAACAATGCCCTTCTCAGGACCAGCAGTTGGTGTAATGGCTGTGTTGCTGGACTCCCATGTAGTCCACTGCAGTTTGAGTCCTGGACTTCGTGACTTAAACTCATGTCAGGCGCATGTGCGTGCGTGCCCAAGATCCCAAGAGGAGAATGGAGAAGGGATTGTGGCGTGGTCATCCCCCCTGGGGAGTGATTTCTCGCTTTCTGTCTGTCTGTCTGTCTCTGTCTTTCTGGCAAGTGCACAGGCCCTGTAGCAAAAGCCTCTCCAAAAAAAAGGGCAAGAAAACTGGCACACGGTGCTATTCCACAGAGAAAGGTTTCTTGGTTACTACTGGAGAAGGAGGTCTGGTCACCAGCATTCTGAACAGAACAGATGAGGGGGAGAGGGAGTGCTGTGAGGCATGACGTATATAAAGTGTGCAAATTTTTTTTTTCTTAGAGGTTTTGCTATAGAGCATGTGTGCTCACTGGAGACAGAGAATGAAACATCAGCCCCCAGGGGGGAAGGCCATGCCACAATCCCTTCTCCATTCCCCACCTAGGATTTTGGGCACACCTGTGCACATAGGCATGAGTTTCAAGCCCCCAGGTCTGGGGCTTGAACCGCAGTCAGCCATGTGGAAGTCCAGTGCCTTGACCAGTACATAACCTACTGGCCCCAAGCTGTGCACTTTTAAGTGTCTGGATTACCCACATTTCACATATATGTTCCCATCTACTCACCGGGGTAATCCTCACCGATGTGAAGCTGTAGAGCAAGCCCAGCCTCCAGGAGGCTCGGTCTTGACCTGTTCCCCTTTCAGCTGTAAGCACTATTCTGGCTTCTAGAATAATAAATATGCTTTGCCTGGTTGTGAACATTATATAAAAAATTATATGGTAGGCATTCTGTTTGGCTTGTTTGTCGAATATCGTATCTGTGACTTTTCATGTTGTTTCATATAGTGGTGGGATTTTATTTTGTTGTTTTTTGAATTTTTATTTGTGAGCGACAACATGAGAGAGAAAGAAAGACAGGCAGCTTTGACAGGGTCTTGGCGTGCTGTGGTCCCCTCCAGCCAGTCAGGGTCTCAGAAGCACCAGCACTTCCTGGTGTGTTTTCGGATTCAACTCCGGGGGGTCACGTGGCCTCTAGCACTGCAGGGAAGCGTGTTGTTCCCGGGCCTCCACGGCTGGGCCAGTTTTGTTGTTCCTATTGTTTGTTTGTTTGTTTAAATTGCTGTGTATCATTCAAATCATACATAGTTCCCCAACTACCCTTATAACTTATGTCGTGCCACCAGGACAACCCTTCGTCACTGGTCACTCTGCTTATTCAACTTCTCTCTTAAGACAACGATAGAGCATGGATCAGCCCATGGCCTGGTGGTTACAGTGACAGGATCCCACATGGCTGACTGAGTTGTTCAAGTCCTAGACCTGGCAGTTTGAAAAAACACGCTGGCCATGTGCACATGCACGCCCCACATCCCAAAGTGGGGGAGATGGAGGAAAAGAGATCGCAGCATGACCATACCCCATGGGGGTGTCTTCTTGCTTTCTCTCTCTCTCCAGTGAGCACATGTGCCCTCTGGCAAAAAATTTTAAATTACTAACATAGAGACATTCTTTACCAAGAATTGCTGCAGTTTCTCGCTTCAGCAGTGCTTGAGTGGAAGCCAGTGCTCGTCCTCGTCCTGGCCAATCACCCACAGCCAGTCCTCTGCCACCTCCCTGCAGTGCCCTCCGACCGCCCAGTGCCGCCTCCCCTCAACCACTCGCGATGACCGTGTCTGTCTCGCAGGTGCGCCCCACGACCACCAGGACTCAGAGGCCACCGTCGACTGCCAGATGAGCCGGGAGCTCTCCGCCGCCCGTGTCTGCCTGTCCGTGCCACTACCTGGACCACGATGATGTGGCTTTGAAGAACTTGGCCACGTACTTTCTCCCCCAGTCTGAGGAGGGGGAAGGTGCTGAGAAGCTGACGAAGCTGCAGACTCAACAAGGTGACCGCACCTTCCTTCAGGCAGCATGGAGACAGCATCCACACAGAGCACCTGCCGGGGGGCGGGGGGAGGTGACGCAAGGGTGGGGCACGCTGGATGACAGGGCCGTGAGGAGGGCAGATGCTGACAGAGCTGGCACAGGCACTGCATGCTTTCTGCCCTCCCACCGAGGCTCACAGGCCGGTGACCCATCAGGAGACAGTGCCTGCTCCATGGGTCTGTGAGAAGCCGTGGGAGCTAATACTCGTGTGCCATGAGCTCACTCAGAGGG